TTGTCAGCTAGTGACACAACTAGATTGTTTTTCATGGTCAAACGACTGTGGTAGGGACTTCACGTCTATACTATTCTAGTTCTTATACCATACCCATCACAGTATTTATCTGCATGACATGGTATCTGAGGGTACGTCTACACTACCCGCTGGATCGGTGCGTAGTGATCGATCTATCTGGGATCGATTTATCACGTCTCGTCTAGATGCGATAAATCGATACCCGAACGCGCAACCCGTCGACTCCGGAACTCCACCTCTGCGAGAGACAGAAGCAGAGTCGACGGGGGAGCAGCGGCCGTCAATCCTGTACCGCGAGGACGCGAAGTAAGTCAATCTAAGTCGATCTAAGATACGTCGACTTCAGCTACGCTATTCTCATAGCTGAAGTTGTGTATCTTAGATCGATTCCCCCCTTCCCCCCCCAGTGTAGACTAGGCCTGAGTGCCTTCGCTTAGCATTTAAATACTTTGGTGGAGGCTTTTTACAAAGGGGTGTAGGTAGGAATTTAAAATTTTGATCCATATGATTTATTCATTGCCCTGTGCCCACAGTATACTTCATAGGCTCCCGGGGTAGACATGCCCGCATAGGGTATGAGCACTAACCCAGGCAGCACAGATGCATAGAGACAGTACAATCAGTAGCATAGCTAGCAGGGTGCAGGGGAAGCAGCCGCTTCCCCTCAGCACATGTTCCATAAGCGGCGCCTTTCCAAAAGCGGCCGGAGGAGCGGGGGGGGGGGCGCAGGCTGGCGGCCTGCAGCCATTGGGGGGGGCGGGCACGGCCGGAGAAGCGGAGGGGGCGCAGCATGGCGGCTGGAGGAGCGAGAGGGGGCCCCACGGGGGTGGCACGGCAGGGCCAGAGGAGCCACGGGGGGGGGAGGGGCAGTGCGGCCAGGGAGGAGCCAAGGGGGGGGGCGCCTTTTTTATGTTTGCTCCCCCTCCTCTTAGAAGCTGGCTACGCCACTGATTACAATGTTTATAAAAGATCGTCTAAGGAAGCCAGAAATTCTGCTAGTCGCCCAAGAAATGCTCCCCTTCACTCCCCGCCATGCCGGAGCTGTGTGTGCTAAGGGATACGTGGCATGTACTAGACTCACACCTGTGCACACCGCTGTCCGCGTAGCTTTGCTCTACCAACCGTCCCCGTTCAGTTACAAAGAAGGGGAAATGAAAACGCGAGGCGCGCCTTTGCATGCCGCGTGCGCCTTTACACTCGCGCCTTGCTTCCCGGCTGGAGCGCCACAGGGGCTCAGAGCGTGTCCGTGTAACTCGCCGGCTCGCACCGCAGCACGGGGCTGTGCCCAGGGCAGCGGGCTGTTTTGTCCCGCCGGCCGGAGCGCGTTCCGCGGTAGCTGCAGACGTAAGGCCGGTCTCGTGGCGGAAACTGCACCTAGTTGTAAAAGGGGCGGGTTGCTATGTGTGTCGTCACACCTGTCTACAGGAACCAGCTGCAGCGTGACCGCAGCGGCCCGGCCAATCCAGGGGCCCCCGCAGGAGCGCCGGAACCTTGGCCCCGCCCCCTGCTCCTCTTCTGCCCCAGCCCCCACCCCCTGTTCTGCCTCTTCCCCCTCAGGCCCCACCCCCTGATAGCCAGGCCGGAAGCTGGAGTCCGGCTGTTGACAGTGAGGTGAGCATGTTCCCCCAGCCCCCCCCCCCACCCCGCGCGGAGCTGGGCCTCGCCCCTCCGCGCCTCCCCCCCCCCACCCCGCGCGGAGCTGGGCCTCGCCCCTCTGCGCCTCCCCCACCTCCATCTACTCTGGTTAAATAATAATTGTCTGACCCTCAATTACCAATCACTGAAAATCTAAACTGATAAAAATAAAAAAAGCTTAAAATAAATATCAATATTATAACAAAATAAAAATCCTGTCAACTATAGGTAGGGCCCTACCAAATTCATGGCCATGAAAAATGTCCCAGGGACTGTAAAAAGAACAGGAGTACTTGTGGCACCTTAGAGACTAACAAATTTATTAGAGCATAAGCTTTCGTGGGCTACAACCCACTTCTTCGGATGCATATAGAGTGAAATATATTGAGGAGATATATATACACACATACAGAGAGCATGAACAGGTGGGAGTTGTCTTACCAACTCTGAGAGGCCAATTAAGTAAGAGAAAAAAAACTTTTGAAATGATAATCAAGATGGCTCAGTACAGACAGTTTGATAAGAAGCAAGTGTGAAAATACTTACAAGGGGAGATAGATTCAATGTTTGTAATGGCTCAGCCATTCCCAGTCTTTATTTAATCCTTTGTTGATCGTGTCTAGTTTGCATATCAATTCCAGCTCAGCAGTCTCTCCTTGGAGTCTGTTTTTGAAGTTTTTCTGTTTTAAGATAGCCACCCGCAGGTCTGTCATAGAATGGCCAGACAGGTTAAAGTGTTCTCCCACTGGTTTTTGAGTATTATGATTCCGATGTCAGATTTGTGTCCATTAATTCTTTTGCGTAGAGACTGTCTGGTTTGGCCAATGTACATGGCAGAGGGGCATTGCTGGCACATGATGGCATATATCACATTGGTAGATGTGCAGGTGAACGAGCCCCTGATGGTATGGCTGATGTGATTAGGCCCTGTGATCATGTCACTTGAATAGATATGTGGACAGAGTTGGCATCGGGCTTTGTTACAAGGATAGGTTCCTGGGTCAGTGTTTTTGTTCAGTGATGTGTGGTTGCTGGTGAGTATTTGCTTTAGGTTGGGGGGTTGTCTGTAAGCAAGGACAGGTCTGTCTCCCAAGATCTGTGAGAGTAAAGGATCATCTTTCAGGATAGGTTGTAGATCTCTGATGCGCTGGAAAGGTTTTAGTTGGGGGCTGAAGGTGACAGCTAGTGGTGTTCTGTTATTTTCTTTGTTGGCCCTGTCTTGTAGGAGGTGACTTCTGGGTACTCGTCTGGCTCTGTCAATCTGTTTTTTTCACTTCAGCAGGTGGGTATTGTAGTTTTAAGAATGCTTGATAGAGATCTTGTAGGTGCTTGTCTCTATCTGAGGGATTGGAGCAAATGCGGTTATATCTTAGAGCTTGGCTGTAGACAATGGATCGTGTGGTGTGTCCTGGATGGAAGCTAGAGGCATGTAGGTAAGTGTAGCGGTCAGTAGGTTTCCGGTATAGGGTGGTATTTATATGACCATCGCTTATTAGCACAGTAGTGTCCAGGAAATGGACTGCTTGTGTGGATTGATCTAGGCTGAGGTTGATGGTGGGATGGAAATTATTGAAATCATGGTGGAATTCCTCAAGGGCTTCTTTTCCATGGGTCCAGATGATGAAGATGTCATCAATGTAGCGCAAGTAGAGTAGGGGCGTTAGGGGACGAGAGCTAAGGAAGCGTTGTTCTAAGTCAGCCATAAAAATGTTGGCATACTGTGGGGCCATGCGGGTACCCATAGCAGTGCCGCTGACTTGAAGGTATATATTGTCCCCAAATGTGAAATAGTTGTGGGTGAGGACAAAGTCACAGAGTTCAGCCACCGGGTTAGCTGTGACATTATCGGGGATACTGTTCCTGATAGCTTGTAGTCCATCTTTGTGTGGAATATTGGTGTAGAGGGCTTCTACGTCCATAGTGGCCAGGATGGTGTTTTCTGGAAGATCACCGATGGAATGTAGTTTCCTCAGGAAGTCAGTGGTGTTTCGAAGATAGCTAGGAGCGCTGGTAGCGTAGGGTCTGAGGAGAGAGTCCACATAACCAGACAAGCCTGATGTTAGGGTGCCAATGCCTGAGATGATGGGGCGTCCAGGATTTCCAGGTTTATGGATCTTGGGTAGCAAATAGAATGTCCCTGGTCGGGGTTCTAGGCATGTGTCTGTACAGATTTGTTCCTGTGCTTTGTCCGGGAGTTTTTTTAGCAGATGGTGTAGTTTCTTTAGGTAATCCTCAGTGGGATCAGAGGATAATGCCCTGTAGAATGTGGTGTTAGAGAGCTGTCTAGCAGCCTCTTGGTCATATTCCAATTTATTCATGATGACGACAGCACCTCCTTTGTCAGCCACTTCAAAAGTTTTTTTTTCTCTTACTTAATTGGCCTCTCAGAGTTGGTAAGACAACTCCCACCTGTTCATGCTCTCTGTATGTGTGTGTATATATATCTCCTCAATATATGTTTCACTCTATATGCATCCGAAGAAGTGGGTTGTAGCCCACGAAAGCTTATGCTCTAATAAATTTGTTAGTCTCTAAGGTGCCACAAGTACTCCTGTTCTTTTTGCGGATACAGACTAACACGGCTGCTACTCTGAAACCTGTCAGGGACTGTGAAATCTGGTCTTTTGTGTGCTTTTACCCTATGCTATATAGATTTCTGGAGGGAGACCAGAGTTTCTCAAAGTGGGGGTCCTGACCCTAAAGGGAGTTGCGGGGGACGGGGGGGATTGCCAGATCGTTTTAGGGGGATTGCAGTATTGCTACCTTTACTTCTGTGCTGACTTCAGAGCTGGGCGGCCAGCTCTGAAGGTGGTGCCCTGCCAGCAGCAGTGCAGAAGTAAGGGTGGCAATGCCATACCATGCCACCTTTACCTCTGTGCTGCTGCCTTCAGAGCTGGGAGGCTGGAGAGTATTGACTGAGGTTGACTGAGGGCCCAGCTCTGCAGGCAGCAGCGCAGAAGTAAGTGTGGGCAATACAATACCTGCTATCCTTACTTCTGCGCTGCTCCTGGCGGTGGCTCTGCCTTTAAAGCTGGGCTCCTGGCCAGCAGCTGCCACTTTCCAGCAGCCCAGTTCCCAAGCCAACGCCACCACCTGCAGCAGCGCAGAAGTAAGGTAAGCAGTACCGCAACCCCCCTACAATAATCTTAAAACCCCACCACAATTCCTTTTTGGGTTAGGACCCCTACAATTACAACACTGTGAAATTTCAGATTTAAATAGCTGAAATCATTAAATTTACTATTTTTAAAATCCTATGACCATGAAATTGACCAAAATGGACCCTGAATTTGGTAGGGCCCTAACAATAAGGTTTTGACCCCCCCGCCCCCAGCAGATACGGAGAAGGGGGTAAAACCTCCTCTAAGAGAATCTCAGGATGGGGATGTGTAACTTGTATGAACACACAGAGCAACTGTAAGTGTTATTTTATTTTAATATTGTTATTGATAAAATTTCCTATTTTTTCCAAAAGGTTTTCAGTAATCTGTTGAGTGTGTAACTCTCAATAGCACTATCTGCTGAGGTTAGTAAACATTTCCCTTTACATCGCTCTCTCTCCACTTTAATGATGCAAAATTTTCACAGACAGAGCTGTGTCCTAAACGGTGGCCTGCACCACATGAAGCCGAGGGACATGAACAAGAGGGGCCAGTGGGGCTGGTGCTTCCCCCGCTCCCCGTTACAGCTGCCCGAGGCAGCTTGCAGCCATGCTAGCCAATATGCCTTATCTCCCTTGTCCAAATAGGCAATGTCAAACACTCTGACTGTAGGACAAGGGGATCCCACACTGAGGCCCCCCAGGAACACCAAGCTTGGGGTGCACTGCCAGGTGCTGGTGAGCTTGGCACCCCTGCGGGGTGGAGACTGGTGACTGCAGACCCCCTTGAATTGCTCCGTCTAGGTTAAAACAGTCCCCCGCCCCACCCGTGACCGGCACAGCTCTGCTTCTGGTGAGTGACGGGAAGTGCAGAGCAGCATACTGGGAAGTGTTTCCAGTGTGGTTGGACCCTGTCTCTCCCTCCCTGTCTGTGGGTCTCTACTGCACTGGAGGCCTGGTCCCGACACCCTGACTAGTATGTGCTTTGCTGTTTGCCTGAGCCCTGCCTGCCCCCCACACAGGGAGGGGGGGGCTCTGGCCATCAGCAAGGGCCACGGTGGGGCTTTGGCAAGCCCCACACAGTGTTCCGTTGTCCCTTTGGGAAATATGGTCACCCAACCCTGGGGGCTCCATGCTGCCCGTGGTGGCTGTGGCTTGCCTTGCTCCCTCCACTCCCCCGCAGGGGCAGCCAGGGCTGCACTGAGATCGGCTGCTGAAACCTGGACTGGGATCAGGCCCTAAACGTTGGGCCCTGTGACTACCTCAGGCCTGCTGGGCTCTGCATCCCTGCAGTGCAGCGGGTGGGACTGGCTAATGCCCAAATTGTGGGGTGGGGTCGCTGATAACCTCGCTGCTGAGGTTGCTTCTACACCCCCTCGCCCCGACCATGAGAGTGGCTCCAGCACCTCAGACTCCTCCCCAGGGAGCAGCATGTGTGTGTGCGGGACTGGGTGGGCCAGATTAGCAGTGCCACACCCCTGCCCCCTGGTGAGCAGCCCTATATCTGGAGCTCTGTCCCCAGGCTGGGGAAGGCAGCACAGCCTGGTACCTGGGGAAGGGTCTGCTGGGAGCCCTACACTAGTGCCTTAGGCCAGAAGGACCAGATTAATCTTTTGTGGGCACTACCCCTGCTTGGTGTTTTCCCACTGCTTGCACCAGGTGGGAGAGGGGGAGAGGAGTGAGCAGCAAGTGGGGCCATGGGGAGGAGAGGCTGAGCAGGGCCAGGGCCATGAAGCGTGGGCAGAGTCGGGAGCGGGACCACGGTCCAGGTGCTGAGGCCCCTTCTGAGTGTGGGCCCAGCTCCCTTGTAAACCCGGTACTGTAGGCTAGGGTTACCATACGTCCATATTTTCCCGGACATGTCCGTCTTTTTGGTTCTCAAATCGCCGTCCGGGAAGAATTTCCAAAAAGCTGAACATGTCCGGGTAAATAAGGAGGCATGATAAGCCTAGAGTTACCTGCAGGAGCTGCGTGTCTGGGATGCTCGCCCGGCCCCGGCTAAATGTGTAACCCACTTCGCCCCGCTGTGCGAGGGGGCACTGTGGCTTTGATGGACTCCGGCCAGCCAGGAAGTGATGTCATTCCTCTTCCGGCCCCACCCCAGCCGGGGGCATGGCACTGTGGGAGCAGGAGCCATGTGGGCTGCTGCCTGGCCTTGGGCACGGGCTCTGTTGCTGTGCTGCTCCCCTGGCCCTGGGGCTGCTGCCCGGTGGGTCCCCGGCTGCTCTTCTAGCCTGGGCTGAGTCCTGTTGCTCAGCTCGGGCTGCTCCGTGCGCTGCTGCCCCGAGCCGCTCTCCCCGTGAGTACCCGCCACCCTGCCGCAGCCAGCCCCTGTCTCCAGCCCCTGCCGCACCCACTGCTCGCAGCCAGCCAGCCCCACACCCCTAGGCGCCAACTTTACCCGGCGCCGGTGGGTGCTTGGGGGCCCCCCGGTCTCCAGCCCCTTCCCCAAATCCCCGGCCCTGCCTCCTCTCCCGGGCGTGCCGCATTTCCCCTCCACCCCCCTCCCTCCCAGGCTTGCTGTGAATCAGCTGTTTCCGTGGCAAGCCTGGGAGGGAGGGGGGAGGAGCGGCGACGCGCTCGGGGGGGGAGGGGGCGGGGGGGGGGGGGCACGACGGGGAGCTGCTGGTGGGTGCTCTGCACCCACCAATATTTCCCCGTGGATGCTCCAGCCCGGGAGCACCCACGGAGTCGGCGCCTATGCCCACACCCCCTGCCCTGTCTCCAGCCAGCCCCGCACCCCCTGCTCTGCCTGCAGCCAGCCCCTGCCCGCAGCCAGCCCTGCACCGCCCTGCCCGCAGCCAGCCCTGTCCCATGCCCCTGTCTGCAGCCAGCCCCACGTCCACTGGTGCCCTGCAGTTCCCAGGGTAGTAACCCTGCTCACCTGCTTCAATGAGGGAGGCAGGAGCAACTGGGACCCACACATCTGAAATGGAGCTCATTTTTAGTTCAGGCCCATCTTTTTAAAAAAGAACTTTAGGTAGGGTTACCATACATCAGTATTCTCCTGGACATGTCAGGCTTTTTGGTTCTTAAATCGCCATTGGGGAGGAATTTTTAAATTTTAATAATTCCTCCCGGGAAAATACGGACGTATGGTAACCCTATTTAAATATCTAAAAATGTCTGGGAGGGCAGCTGCAACAGCGAAAGTTCCCTCTCCCCCCCCCCCCCCCCCCCCCCCCCATGGAGTGTCCTCTTTTTTGAATGTTCAAATATGGTAACCCTACTGTAGGCCAGGGCTATGCTGCAGAGGCACAGCCACAGCCCTGGGGCCATGCCGCAGTAGCTTAGCCATCTCCTGTGTCAACGGGAGGGGTTCTCGTGTTGCTGTAGTTAATCCCCCTCTCCCACAGGTGGGAGCTAGGTGCACAGAAGAACTGTGCTGTTGGCCCAGCCATATTTACACTGGCGGTTAGGCAGACCTAATTGTGGCACTAAAGGTGCAACATTTTTCACAGCCCTGACAACATAGCTAGGTCGATCCAATTTTTAAGTATTCAATCTGGCCCAAAATTGGCTGAAACAAAAGTGTAGATTATACAAAAATGTGATGGTTTAGCTCCACCCACCCACCCAGCAGGGCAGTAACCTAGTGGTCCCCGATGTTTGAGCAAAGAGACTTCTCAAGCTGTGGTACAAATGTAGAATTTTGTTTTTCTTTGGTTGGTGCCTTATGGGGTGATTTTACGTGATTTTATTTATTAATAATGTTTTGCAGAGTAGTAGGTCTCAGTCCCCTATCTGAAATTTAAATTTAGTCCTATCATGCTAAATTTTGTGCAAACTGATGAAAAAGTCATACCCTGCCCAAAAGAATAAGTGTGACCTTCTGTATTTGCTTTAAAGGCTTGTAAAATATTCCAGAAGAAATCATGACCAGGTGGGCCCGTACAAGTACCACTCATAGCAAAAAGCCTCTGGACGCTACACCATGGGAAGATATGAAAAATGGATCCACCAGTGGAACAGTGAGGAATAAACAGCAAAATTATTCAAATACGCTTTCTTTAAAGAATGATCAAGTGAAGAAGAAGAAGAATAAAAAGAAAAAGGACTATTTGAATGAAGATGTTAATGGATTCATGGAATACTTAAAACAGAGCTCACAGGTTATACATAGTGGAAAGGTGAGAGCAGCAGACAGCCATGAGATGAGGGAAGAAGTAGCAACAGCCTTGAAGAAAGATAAGCGTCGGGAGGGAAGAAGATTGAAGAGACAAGAGATGAAGAAAAACACCATGGTAAGATCTCTGTCCTGTTCTGCCCTTTCTCTTCAAGTTTTTGTTCATAAGTGTATTCTATGATTAAGCTAAAAGTAATATAGGTAAAGTGCACTCTTTTTTCAACAAATTGCAAACATTTGTAGAAAAGTCTTAAAGCCTGCAGAATTTCAGTGTAACTAATGTTAAGTGGCTCGCCTGTTTGGAATCCACAAAATGTACCAAACTTACTTTTTGAAGGAGGATGCACTCCTTCTGTAATGATCAGCTGTTGATCAGTGAATGCCCAATATGAAATTCCTACATACACCTTTGTACAATCTTCTAGATGGGTGAATAATGCCTATAATATTGGCGCTTGATCATCTCATCGGTTGTGGGTGCGGGTCTGTGACAACTATTCTGTGGTTTGCTAGGCAAATTGGATTTATCCCCATTATATTCTAGGAATTTTCCCCTTAAGACTGAGTGTCTTAAGATTCATAAAGTGCTTATTAGACTGGAATTTTGTGGTCTTGCTTTCAGTGCCAGTTATTGAATCTTAGACCTTGAGATCATATGTCTTATTGGGCATTGATGTGACCTTATTTTAAAGATGTAAGGACCAAAACTTATCTTGATTCCGAAGTGTAAAACTAAACCTTGCGGGTGTTCTCTTACCCTAAATATGTGTCTATGACACAGAGATTTCAGGTAACTTTAATTTTAATATCAAAATATTTTAAAGAAAATAAAATTCTGTTGGAGGTAAATGCTGATTGTGTGGTATTAGCAGTAAGTGTATCCTTTTAAAATATTCCTGGCTGTAAAAATACACAGCAAAACACGTAATGAGTTTCCATAGTCAGTTTAGTAATCCACATTTTATTTTCGAAGGTATGTTTCCACTGTAGGAAGCCTGGCCATGGAATTGCTGACTGCCCAGCTGCCCTTGAAAGTCAGGATATGGGTACTGGAATCTGTTATCGATGTGGATCTACAGAGCATGAAATCACCAAGTGTAGAGCAAAAGTAGATCCAGCTCTTGGTATGTTTTTTTAACATCTACTTTTCTCTCCTAAAGGAAGTGCTTTGTAAGGGTTTTCTGATCACTGAGAGAGTTTCATTTTTAGTCAGAAAGTTTAACAGTTTTGAGGACATCCACTTTAACAGGTAATGCTTCCACATTACTGCAATATTGATTTATTTCTGTAAAAACACTGTGATATTATCTGTAACTTTGTTGTGAAGGTTTAACATACATCTTAATAGAAGAACAATTGGAATCTTACAGGGGAATTTCCATATGCAAAATGTTTTATTTGTGGCGAGATGGGGCATCTGTCAAGGTCATGTCCAGATAATCCTAAAGGACTATATGCTGAAGGTGAGTATAATTATTGCTGTAAACCAAACATTTGCCCTCTTATAATGGTGGTTAAATGTAGCAAAGAACAAGGCCTTGGCTACACTTGCAGCTGTACAGCGCTGTGAGGTAAACCTGTCTTCGTACAGCTGAGTAGGGAAAAGCGCTGCAGTCTGTCCACACTGACAGCTGCCAGCGCAGTGGTGTGGCCACACTTGTAACATTTGCAGCTGTGTTGGGAGCGGTGCATTATGGGCAGCTATCCCAGCATTCATGTGGCTGCAACGTGCTTTTCAAAACGGGGGGGAGGGTGGATTGTGACAAGGAGTGTGGGGGGAGAGAGAGTGCTTTTTGGAGCATGTCAGCTCTCTATTTTGCAAGTTCCGAACTCCCGGCCCCCTGCTCATTCATTCACTCACTCAAAGCAAGCTGCAAACTGTTTGCTTTTCTCTGTGGTACCAGCTTTGAAACCGGCACTTCCGCATTCCTGCAGCCGGTCACAACAATGGAGAGGATTGGCCACTTGACAAGGTGATTAGTACAGCACTGCAAGCGTTTACACTCACTCCGCTGCAGCTGTTATTCCTCTCGGAGATGTGGAGTACCTGCAGTGGTGTACCCAGGGAGATACAGCGCTGTAAGTGCCCTGCCAGTGTGGACGGGGAGTGAGTTACAGCGCTGGGGGAGGCTTTACAGCGCTGTAACTTGCAAGTGTAGCCAAGGCCCAAGGTGGCAGCTGCCAGGTACGAGAGAGCGTAGTGAACAGAGCTTCTTGTAAGAGGTGTACTTTGTGTAGAAAAAGTATGTGACAACTGTAGAGTGTCTAGTGCATATCTTCATTAGCTAGTGTTTGCTTCAAGCAACTGAGCATCAGCAGGATGAGTAGAAGAGCATGGGAGCTAAATTTAATTTGAAATTCAAAAAGGGGGTGTTCTCAATGATTCTACAAGGGAAAAAACCCTTTGTATTTATGCATGCAATGCATTGAAATATACACCTGGAGAAAGAGGGACATACTAAACCTGTGGGGAGGAAGTGTATAGGCTCTTTTGACTAGAGAGACATTTTAAAAACTAAATGCACTGTTCTGTCCTCCCATTATATGTTGGATACATGGGTCTCTTCAGGTATTCCATGACTGTTAACCAAACAAAAGTTGTTATTGCACTAAAATTCTATGTTTAAATATGTGATGATGCTGCAAAAGAATAAGGAAATCAAAGTAAAGGCAGACACTGCCTTTAACTTGTGCTTTTGGATTGTAATTAATTCGGCCCGTGACATGACATGTAGATCTGAAACATGCAGTGCCTTGGCATCCTAGTAATTGCAACATGCTCTTAGTGAAGCCTTTATTCTAGAAAAGGGACAACCTCAACTTAAATCACACTTCTGTCTGAAGTTGTTTAACGAAAGAGAGAGATTAAAATAGTCTTTTTAAAATTTGATAATCCCTTTTTGTGTATTTAATTTTCATTTCGCAGTATAATCAACTAGTTTGTGGATCTTTCACACAGTAACTTGGCAAAAATAGAAAAGTGACTGTAAAATCTCAGGTTAGTAAGAGGACTAAGTCAGATGTATTTAAATTTGCTTTTAACCTTTTTTGAATTGACTAGATCTCAAGTATATGTTGCCCCTTTAAAGGCTGGATTTTGTCCTCAGACATCCACATGCAACTCTCATTAACTTCAGAAGTAGTTGGTGCATGCTGGTATCTTGGAACAGAATTTGTTCCTAAGAAAACAATGTCAGAATTTCAAATAGCTACTCCTCAATATTTCTAGGCGAATATAATTCAAATGACTCTTTGCAGTAATGTTAATACTGGATTTGTATGTATCATTCGGCATCCATAGATATGAGTGCTTTACAAAGGAGAGTAAGTATAATTATTCCTATTTTATAGAGGGGAAACTGAGGCTCAGAGGTCAAATTACTAATCCATGCTTACAAAGCAGGTGGTCTATACACTGGACCACGTTGTCTCAAGTTAACTTGAATTTTAGTCTATGAAAGGCCTCTGAGTTAGTCTCTAGAGGGAATTTTTATCTTTATTTATGCTATACCTTTGGAGATAAATTTTATTTTTTTATATATATATATATATATATATATATATATATAAATAAATTTAACTTCTAAATTTTCTTGTTTCAAGTGAAGATCAGTTTTTATAACATGTTGACAAGTGATTAAAATATGTATAATGCTAAAGCAAATATTATTTCCAGTTGTTAAGAAATAGCTTTGGATGTTGCTTTCTTAATAGGAGGCTGCTGCAGGCTTTGTGGATCTGTGGAACACTTTAAAAAAGATTGTCCAGAAAACCAGAACTCAGGTGAGATCCAAGGGAATATAGCTTGCATGTCAAAGTTTTAAAATATAAAGACAAATTATTCTGTTGTAATGATGAGACCTATAAAGAGGGCTTGAAAAATACTCACCTAGTAGCAAATATGAAACTGTTTGGGAGGAATGGGGAGTGTAGGTGGATAAAGTAAACAGCAGAAATTGACAGTTTTTATTACAAATGGTTCTAGCCCTTAACACATATGAAAATAGTGTTCCAAATATAAAATGAATGTGAACCAATAGAATGCTGTCTTCCTGAGACAGAGTGCACCAATGCCTCTGCTTTCTCCAGGGGCTGCCGGGTGAAACTGACAAAATGATCATTTTCCTGTGGGTAGCAGTGAAACTGAAAAAGTCAGTTTCAGAGTGGGAAAGCTTTGAGTGGCAGTTGGGTACTGGAGCTATTTGAGGAAGAGGATAAACCCAAAAATGGAGACTAGGGATCCTCCCTGCCCTACAGCAGTCAGGAAAGAGCGGGTCTGATGAAGGGAGAATAGTGGGTCCTATAGACTTCTCAGTAGGGAGAAAAGAGGAGATCTCTCTGGCTGCTCTAAGGATGTTTCAGACTAGTGAAGGCTGATATGAACGATGGGGCCCCTGAGCAGGATCTAGGGACTACAGCCTGGTATAAATCCAATAGCTGAGGTTGGAGGAATGGACAGCTTGCTGTGGTGGTGCTACTCGGTTGCTGCTGGTAGTGGCTGGGGAAGATACTTTACCAGTCTCTGGCGAACTGTTGTAGTTCTGTGCTAAAGGTTGTTGGTTCGCCCTTCTACGCCCTCCAAATTCTGCCAAAGTTAGTGTTCGTTCAAATATCTGGAAAAAATGAGTTGAAAAATATCCTTACATTGTCTACTGATAACTCTGAAAATTCATCATTAGGTTTTATTTTCATTTAATTTTCTTTTCCCCCTTATTGACCAGTGTTTGTTTATTATAAAATTGTCTGCATCTGGGAGATATGGCTTAATGATCATGCAGAGAATGGAGTCCAGGTATTCCTAATTTCTAGTAGCTGTTAGGCTACTGCTTTGTTTTCTGAATATCTGTAATCGAGACTACAGGAAGGTGAAATCACAGGAGAGGGATTGTATGTTGTTATAGTGACTCAGTAATTTTGAGTTGCACGCATCCATTATTTCCGCTTCCCCCTCCAAAAGCCTCTAGTGCCATTGGCTCTAAGATGCTGTCAGATCTCAATCATCAAATCCAGTTTCCTTCACCAGGATCTCTCACAATCTTCATCCATCACTACTAAATATATATCTCTTGATCATATAAATGTTATGTCAATTATTCTCAGTGTGCAGGTAGTACCTTTACGCTGGCATCAGGTGTACGTGAATGGCTGAAGTGTTCTAGTTCTTGAAGCAAATTTTTGCCAAATAGGATTTGTTGGGGTTTTTTAACTGGTGTATGATTGTCAAAGATTTGTAGTGTAGAAGGGGCACTAGCGATACTTGTGGTAATTTGTTCATTAAATTTTTCCAAAGGTTAGCAGGCAGTACAGATTTTTGTTAGATGTAGTTTAAACAAAAGCCACTTCTGGTAATGTAGAACAAAAGAGATGTTTCTTTAATGTTGGGGAGATCTGAAATGATTGATTCCGAGGCTCAAACCAAACTCATGTCACATAGCAGACTTCCGTGGAGTGGAATTAATTTTTCAAGAATCTGATTCCAACCCACTGAAAACTAAAACATTGAAACTGCCCAGTTCTAAATTTAAAGAATGGCCCAACCTGGAATGGGTTGAGGCAGTCCTAGAAAGAATTACACAGAAGTAAACAGGATATGGAGGCACAGGTAAGGCTTTGTCTACACTATAAAGTTTTGTCTGCAAAAGCTGCCTTTTGCCAATCAAATAGGGGGAGGTGTACACATTACAAAGCTACTTTTGGTGGCAAAACAAAACCACCTCAATGAGAGGCATAAAGCCTTTTGTGGCAAAGTTAAAGCGACAAAGCATTAGTGTAGACACTGCTGTTTGTTTTGACTACAGAACTGGCTTCCACCAGTATCCCACAATGCCTGCTAGGAGGGCTCTGCTCACTGTTTTGATCTCTGCTGCCCTGCAGGCATGCGTCCCTCCCCTTTCAAAGCTCCGGGGAAGTACTGAACAGCTGAGCCTGCTGCTCCCTTTGGGGAACAAAGAGCAAATCATTACCTGGAATGCTCCTGTTCTGCCCTGCTCTAGGAACTCAGCAGCAGGCAGACTGCTGCTGCAGGGAGGGGTGTGTGTTCAGGGTGGGACTGCTGTGCTGCTTTGACATTCTTCAGCAGGCTCAGGATGCTGCTCCCAGCTGCTGAGGAGGCTGTGGGAGAACTCAGGGGGAATCACAGAACCATGGGCAGGCAGGCAAGCAGAGCGGACTGCTTCAGGAGAGACTGCTGTGCTGAGCAGAGCTGAGGGCTTATGTGAGGAGGGTGTTCCCCCCTCCCACTGCCTCAGATAGGTCAGTAGCCTACTTTCTCCCCTGCCCCAGGCACACCACTCTCCTCTCCTTCCCACACCCTTCAGTTGAAAAAGCAGCTAACAATCTACTAGGATGCCCCTGGAATGGTGGGATTAAGAAATCTGCATCATGTGATGCTGTACCTGCCCGATGAGGCATTGCAAACCCTTCCCAAAGCACCCTGCCGCCAGTTGCACAGTGGGATACTACCACAGTGCACTGCTCTCTGCGTCGATGCAAGAGCTGTTAGTGTGGATGCGCTCTGCCGACACAAGGAGCTAGTGTGGACATGCAACAGCGATTTTAAGTAGAGCGCTTTAATTAAAGCAGCATAACTTTTACTGAGAAAACTTTGTAGTGTAAACAAGGCCTAAGTGTGAGATCTTCTAGGGCAAACAGAATCTAGCGAGTGCTACTGAAAGCTTGCCTGCCTGGAACCCCACTGTGAGAGATGCACATGACTTGGGAGTGCAGCTCGAAACTTCTGAATAGCTGTGTATATTGGTACTGTCTATACCCCATGTCCATGCCCTTGTGTGCTTCTCTACCCCATGTCCTGGTCTATTAGATTGCAGTTGTGATTGCTATGCTGTTCCTTTTGATCACCATAAGTAGTGAATAGAGGAACTCCTTAATATATTTCAGGTCATTGTTTTTTCTTTGATTTGTTTGTGGGATGGTCAGATAGTGTTAAGATTTTTAGTCCCATTGGATATTTCGTTTCAAGGCTGAGCAATTCCCACACTCTTGTGGACCTTATTTAAGGTGGCCAAAGCCAAGTCTACCCACTTCAAGTAGTGCCCCTTCTTGTAGTGGCATTGGATCAGTCACCAACAGGCCTACTCAGTGATGACGCAGGAGGATCACATTCCTAGTTACTGTTCTAGCCCAGACCATTTTAGAGGGGGTTGTGAGTGTGTCCTATGGCCCAATGGAATACAGGACTCTCCTAGATACCATGCCTATCAGGGTGTCATGGTATTGGTGTCTGAACACTCTTTGACACTGCTGGTGTTGATGCCTTGACGGTGAGCGCCACTACATTGCCCATACTGATATCAGATGCTTGTGGGTTGATGGGCTCTGGCACCCTGATGTCAGACTCCTGCTGTCTAGTGTCTCAGCGGCAAGTTCTTTTATGTAGTTGTTCTGCACTATGACTCGTCAGGAGGGAGTCCTGAGAATGTAGGCAGGGTACATATGTGGCCCTAATGGCTGGGTACTGTTCAGACATTCTGACCAAAGTGGTCGTATCCCCTACAACATGCACTCATGCGGGCAATAGTCTTGGGTTACTTCATTTAAGTAACCATTTTTTATATACCATGAAAGAACACAAACTTTCTGTCAGGCTGGCACACACGTGGAAATTGGAGCAGTTTCAGTAGGAGAGAAGAAATTTTGTAGTGAATAAACAGTGGTGCTCTGTGAACCCTTGTGAATGACAGACTATCACTGTATCAGTGGCAACCTTTAGTTGATGAATTTGGTTTTCATTTAGCAGTATTGGTATTCATGTATGTCAGAAGGCAGGAGAGCAACACTAAACAGTGTGCTTACCCCATGCAATTCCTATGCTGCAGGAGATATGACAAATACGAGAGTCAAAGATTTAGTGATCAGATGCCTACTCTTTGAAATATATAGCTTCTAAAAGATGCGTAATGGCAACTGACAAATGCCATTTTGAATGCAGAAGTACACTGCATATCCCAATCTAGAAAAATATGGATCTCTCTCAGGAGACTAAATTATATATATGAAGCTGAACTGGAATTCTCCATGGTTGGAAAACACATCCATAATGAAGACTGACAGTTAGATGCTGTGTAATTTCACAGGAGACCTGTTAGAACTAACACTGATATTTAAAAACAAGCACTGCTGCTTACAAAGCTGTTAGAATTCACTGAATCTATAATGATATGCTGTGGATAAGAATGAAAAGAGAAAAATTTGTAATCAGTTTGCATCATGCAAAGTACTCTTTGTGAGTGGGATAAATTAAGATAACTGATACTCCCAAGACTCAGGGTTACAGTCAGTTACTAAAACACACACCATTTCCCCTGGTGACTCTTATTCAGATGCAGTTTATGCCAAAGCTGTTTGTTACTTGTTTTAGACTGGAACTGCCACATATGCACTGAAATTAGTATAGGTTACTGATAACTAACGGGTCCATGTAATATTTTCAGCATATTCTGACTAGCTGGCCTCCAAAAATTGAACTCCTGTACAGAAGAGAAATATAGCATGCCAGTGTGCTAAGTTTTTAGGAGGGGTATGTTAACTGGTATTGAATGGAGTAAAGTGTGGAAAGATGTTCTCATGATTAAAGAGAGTCAAGAGATCAGCTGTGCCACAAACTTCTTGCATGACCATTGGCAGATCATTTCTGCCTTAATCTCCCAATCTATACAATGGGGATGATATTTACCTACCCTCTAGGTGTGCTAAGACTTAATTAATGTTGGCTAATTACAATGAGGCCTTTGTGGAAGGTGTTGGAGGGGAAAGAAAGTATTATAGTTAACCCACTTTGGTGATGATAGGAGAGGGCCTAATTTGAAAATCTTGATGAGTCCCCTGCTGAGAAAATATACCTTTATATAGTGTGTTCGATGTTTTGGGTTTTTTTTTAAAGTTACAATATTTACTGAACCCTAATAATGCTTTGGGAGATAGCTGAGTTTGTAGAATAGAGGTTAAACAACTTGCCTAAGGTCATGGAGAGAGTTTGTCAGAGCTAGAATTAAAATGCAAGACATCCTGATTGAGAGAATGTGGCCCAGTGGTTTAGCCACAAGACCGGTCAAAATGAAAATCTTGGATATAACAAATAGAGTTTTACATAATCTTTTTTGCCTCTCTTGCTCCACAGATCAAGCAGTAACAGTTGGTCGATGGTCCTATGGAATGAGTGCAGATTATGAAGAAATTCTAGAGAGCCCTAAACTACAAAAACCAAAAGTAAAAGTACCAAAAGTTGTTAATTTTTGATAACTGCTCTCAGACTACATTAAACATCATTTGTCTTCTGAGTGGTCACTGGGTTATACAACTGCAAGATAAAGCTGGGTTCCTTAGGCCAAATTCAGCTCTAGCATAGTGGGCATAACTCCACTGACACCTACTTGCATTGATTTTGGCTTCAGTAAACTAGCTGGATTGCAGTTGCCACATGACTTCTTGTGTATTCACAATTTTCTACAAACCCCCTCCCTTGCCAATCTTAAATGGTGATCACTTAACCTAAACAATGCTTAAGTGAAGGTGTCCTGAGGAGAGAAGTAATACAGCAAACAAATGTTTTTTTTAAAAATGCTGTCATAGTTCAGGGCTAACTGCACCACTGGCCCCTCTCCAGTCTCTGTAAATGTGCTCATTAAATTGCAGACTTCATGCTTTCAACTCTCCAGGGTGGAATCGCACGATTGGGGATCTGGGCTGCAATACTCCGTGTACCAGCCATTCTCATCCCTACAGGTCTGCTTGCGTTCAGCACAGGCTCCTTAAAACAAAGTATTGTTTATGAACACGTTCCTTCAGCGAAAAAAAATTGAAACAAAAAAAGGCCAACACATATGAAACCTCAATTATGCAGCTTCACTTACTGTCCCCAATAACACCTGGATAGTCAGTTATACTCTACTGCAAAACTTCTAGAAGCCACCCCAGATATATTAATGCTTTACACACAGTGGTGGGTCCAGAACCACAAAATGTATCTGAATGGGAAATTTGGCTTTTCAGTGGTGTACTATCGGTGCCAAGATCGATTTGATGTATTCAGTGTTAAATCTGATTTGCTAAAGCATTTACAGACAAAGTACTTCTGTGCACCTTAGAAGGTGCTTAAGGGTGCTCAAGGATCCCTGTCTCATCAAAGTCTTAGTTTGATTCAGAACTCTAATTATGAGACACTGTACTAAACTTTTAAAGTAGCTTTGTCATAGTTAATCTTTAAAGGATAATTATGTAGTGATCAAGATGTTCACTTAACTTCCTATTTTAACTTGTCCTTTTATGAATGTGTTATGACCCTTCTTGAAAGATGGCATGGCTTAGCAAACTCTTTTGGGCCAAGTCATGGCTTGTTGCTGCCTTGGAATGTACGGTTTCTTGTGGTAAATCACAATACACAAACTTATTGTTTAAATGCTTCCTTATTTATACATTTTCTTAAAATTGACTTATTTTTATAAAATATATTAAGTTTGAATTTTCTATCATGGTAGTTGCATTTTTCCTAATGATTTCCCTGGTTCTGGTCTTATTCTTCTACAGAATAGCTTTCCTTTTAATGCATCTTTGGACTATGCCTATCTGGACTTTAGGATATAAATGCTTATGCATCTGGCTCATTAGCCTCCATAAAGTACATAAATACGGTTTGCAAAAACCAAACGAACCCAAAATGGAAGTAAATACTAGTAACCTCCTGATACCTTATAGCAGTTAACTACAGAAACAGCAGGGAGGGAAAGCACAGAATAAATACTAGGTTGAATCTTTTAAAGGTAAAAACAGCTTTGAGATTTCAGCAGGTATATTCGTATTTGGTGTACAGTACTGATGCTGGAGTGGCAACTGTGAGAGAACATTACAAATGTAGTGGAAGTAGATGGTGTATAGCAGAACTCTATGCATCCCCTATGCAAGGAGCAGCTAAAACAGCCTGAGGATTGCCCAGATTTGTGCCCCCTGCTGCCATAGTCCCCAGGAGTGTTTCAGTAGTGGGGAAGGGACAGGGCACAGCACTGCTCTGGCTATATCTACTCACGTTCCCAACATGTCCCTCCAGGCCCATTCCTTCACCAGGGCTATCTAGATGGTGATGGGCATCACAGAGCTGAGTTGGCACCTTATAGGGAACTGTGCTGGGTCATGAGTGGGGCCATGCAAACACTTTGCAGAAGCACCTCTGGTGTAACGTGGCTGTAGCCCAAAACTGCATTCTCTCCCCCTCCCCTCCTCACTAGTAATTGACCACTCCCACTATATTATACACTAGGCAAATGCAAAATTAGAAGAAGTAACCAATGTTAGTTTTAAATCAGTGCTTCAGTGTGCCAGGAGCACTCCTGTGTGGCTGTTTAAAGTAAGAAAGTGGATAGTGTAACGGTAACCTACAGGAAGCACTACTGGATGTTTACGGATCTATTTCACTTCTGATGTAAGTTGGAACAATTCCTCTGTGGTCTGTAGATTTACACCTGCTTAAGGCAGTAGTGACTGGTATGTGAAGTCACCAAATGCTTAGGCAGTTGTGGAGCAACCTGACAGTATCAATGGGAAACACCTATGCAAGAACTAAAGAACCCCTAGAAACACTAGATTTTGCAGGTTCTCTGCCTGAGCTTCAGGGTACCTGGACTGGACTGGGAGCCGTAAGTTGCTGGGCCTTTTTGGCTTTTGTATAGTCAGTGCAAAGGGTTCCTGGGACAACACTTAGAGCCAAATTTTGGCATTAAAGAAGCCCCTTGTTGTGGTTCACCTGGGATTTGGTGGGGGGTTGGTCCCTTCCTCTTCCCTGCAAGTTTCCTCCTAGTTCTGTGTGATTTCCCAACCATGTTTTCGCTACCCACAGGTCATTTACAGACAACTACCCACAGCTAGGTGCTATAGTGGTGCCTTGCACTCAGGTAGACTCCTTACATCCTCTCTCACTGTGCAAGGGGGTGCAAATTAGTGTAACAGCTGTGTGTGTATGATGGGTGGGGGGGGGGTAGGGATAAAACCACCCAAATGACTGATGATGAGCCTAAGGGTAACATTTTTGAGGGCTTCTCAGTCTGATTTTTCAAAAGTCACTGGGGCCCATATTCTCAAGGCTAGTGAGTTAGGTGCATAATTACTTTTGAGGAGCTGGGCCTAGGTGACTTTGGAAAATGTGACTCTCATATGTTGGTGGAGTGGCTATAAAGAGGCCTAAAGGAGTCTACTTGAGTGTAAAGTATTCTGAATTAGTGTTAGACGACCCGATCCTAGCTCCTGTTCCATAGTGCAAAATGGGGTGGAAACTGGTTGCATTTCTGAAGATGGGGATTTTCCCAGCAGGGAGAAGATCCCATCAGGCCCAGAGCTGATGTAGCTGACACCTATGCTGTCAACATAGGGGCTGGGGAGGGGGTGTGGCTCAAGTACTGTGTGTTCTGGAACAACAAGGAGTCTGGTGGCACCTTAAAGACTAACAGATTTATTTG